AGGATTCTGCACTACGGAATCCTTACTAAGGACCCCTTACAAAATATCACCCACTGAGGATTCCCTACTAAGGAACCGTGGCGAAGGATTCCTCACTAAGGAATCCTAGCTGAGGATTCCTCGCCAGAGACTCTCTAATAAGGATTCCCTGCTAAGAGTTCCTTACCAAGAATTTCATATGAAGGATTCCCTGCTCAGGACTCGTTATTTATGACCCCCGGCCAAGGATTCCAAAAGCTTCCAAGCTTAGGATTCTTACTAAGGCTTCCATGCTAAGGACTCCTTGCTACCGGTTCTTTGCTGCGGGTTCCTTACAACCTATTGATCTCTCACAGGGAATTTTTTCTCAGAATTCCTTCCCGGGGGATTCCTCACGAAGGACTCCTTACGAAGGGTTCCCCGTTGAGGATTCCTTACTAAGGAATCGTTACCAAGGTTTTCCTAAAAAGGATGCCTCTCTCAGGGTTTTCTTCTAAGGATTTCTTATACCACACTCCTTACTAAGGGTCCCTACGGAGGATTCCTTACCAAGGATTCTTTACTGAGGGTTTTTTTGTACAAGCCAGATTCCTTACTAAGGACTCCATGCTATGGATTCCCTGCTACGGATTCCTTAAAAGGCCTTCCCACTAAGCTTTTCTGGCTAAGCATTCTCAACTACTGAGTCCGTACTTCAGATTTCTCACTACAGGCCTCATTCCGAAGGGATCCTCACGAATGGTTCCTTAGTGCAAATTTCTTATTAAGGATTCCTGCTTGAGGATTCCCTACATCGGATTCCTTACCAAGGATCCCTCATTCATGAAGTCCTGATTAAGGACTCACAAGAGGGGGGTCTTTGATAAGGATTCCCTCAAAGGATTCCTTACCAACGATTCCTTACCAATGACTCCTTGCTTGATTATAGAGAGAACTGCCCAAGCCGCCCAGACTTACATCGGGCCTGCTTTTGGAGGAGGAGGAGGAGGAGGAGAAGGAGGAGGGAGGAAGAGGGAGGAATGAGGCAGGGAGGGAGAACTCCCCCCGCGCGCCCAGAGCCGCAGCCGCGGCCGCTGCGCCGAGGGACGAGCCCTGCTGCCCAGCCGGCGGCCGCGCCTCCGGCCCGGAGCCGATCTCCTCGTCCACCTGTCTTTTTGTATTTGTTTCTTTCCTTGCTGCGTATGCGTGTGCGTGTGCGCTCCACAGGTTGTAACTTGTACCGACGCTTCAGGCTGCCTTGAGTCGAGCTATCGCGCTCCTCGGTTCTGGCCGTTGCACGCTCTTTGGGTCATCATCTGTCAGTGGCTCTTGGCCTTAATTTGCACCAGACTGCTCGCGCTTCAGTTCACCTCGAGTCGAGCTCGCTCTGCGTACTCCTCGGGTTCTGGCCGCTGCACGCTTCTGGGCTTACAGTCCTACCATCACGCCACCCGTTCTCTGCAACCGCGCATGGGGTCACTACACCGCCCAGGTTTCTGCTGTTTACTGTGCCTCTGCTTTTTCTTCGCCACCCCGCATGCACTGCAGTGGTGAACGTATCTGTCACTGCGCCACGGTGGGTGCGCAAGGGCCTCCTGCGGACGGGGCGGCCAGGGGGCTTTAGCCGGCCGAGCAGGTCGGCGGCCCGCCGCAAGCCCTCGGCCCCGCCGCACGGGTCGACCGCGGCCTCCTCCTCCTCCCTCCTCCGCCCTCTCCTCCTCCTCCTTCTCCTCCTCCTCCTCCGACTACTACCCCTCCTCCTCCTCCTCCTCCTCCGACTACTCCTGTCGCCGTCGTCCCCTCTTCGCCGTGCCCCCCCCCCCTTCCTGGAGGCTCTGCCTCCAGCAGGATGTCGGATGCGCTGCGAGCGCTCTGCTCTGCCGTCCCCCCCCCCCCTGCGGGGGGCTCCTCTCCCCCGTCCTCCTCGTCCCTCTCCTCCCGTCGTCGTCACTACTACTTCTTCCTCTGTCTGGTTTTCCCTTCCAGGGATCTTCCGAATGTTTTTATTCCAGATGGAGACGAAATTTGAGCACACGTTGGCCGTCATGCCACCGTTGCACCACCACCGTTGCACCACCACCGTTGCACCACCACCGTTGCACTACCACCGTTGCACCGCCACCGTTGCACCACGACCGTTGCACCACCACCGTTGCACCACCACGGTTGCACCACCACCGTTGCACCACCACCGTTGCACCACCACGGTTGCACCACCACCTTTGCACCACCACCGTTGCACCACCACAGTTGCACCACCACCGTTGCACCACCACCGTTGCACCACCACCGTTGCACCACCACCGTTGCACCACCACCGTTGCACCACCACCGTTGCACCACCGTTGCACCACCACCACCACCACCACAACCACCGTTGCACCACCATCACCACCACCACAACCACCGTTGCACCACCACCACCACCACCACCACCACCACCACCACCACCACCACCACCACCACCACTACCAACCACCACCACCACCACCACCAACCACCACCACCACCACAACCACCACTACCAACCACCACCACCACC